GACGTAAACACTGTCACTGCGTTTGGTAAGAGTGACGTGGCATGGTGTTACAAAGTATTAAAAGTTCAAAGATTATGTAAAGTGATGAGGAGTAAGTAAAACATGCATCATCTGTAATGCCTCACACAGTGTTACGACTGAAATAGATAACACATGCATTTCATAATGCATGAACATTTTGTTTTTTGATTGCGTGGTTTATGCTTTCTTTCCTGTTTGTGTGTTGGTTTAGAGTTGTGTCTGACAAAACTATACCTACTATTTTGGCTAGGAAAAAAGAGTAGATAAAAGTTGTTTGTTGTTTTATTATCTTCTGTTCTATTTAAAGGACCACTGTGTAGAACACTAAGACTAAAGGTTTTTGGTTTGTCTCTTCTGAGCTACTGTAGAAATGGAAGTTCCTCATGGTGGACTCCGTAGAGGAGAGCCTGTTACCTCTGTAGATAAACATTTTTTTTTTACCTCACAAAAACTCCTCACAAAACTTAGGACAAACTTGACAATGTTTCCAGTAAGCATCTAAGAGTCATTTTCCTTGTTAATTTGGACGTCTTAAATTACTCAACAACCTCCTGTTTTAGATCATAAACACTAAGAAACACTAAATGGAAATAATGGAAATAACATCATGTTGACCATGTTTCATGGTGGATTTCTCCTTTTGAATGACGTCCCCATCTCTTTCCTTTCAATGCAGGTGTAAACAGGTGGAGCAGGATGGAGGGTGAACTCAGAGGCCAAAGAGAAAGATAAGAAGTGTATAGTCAGTGTTAGTTACATTAAGGATTAGGGTTAACCTTTCTGAAAAAGGTTAATAGCTCGCTACGCTCAGTTCAGTTCATAATACACATTCCTCCACAGGTACTGCCCTTCTGGTATTAAATGTAACGTCATCGGCGTCTTGTGTTTTTGTGTTTTCGGCTCTCACATATCTCACTTTGTCAGGATTATAACTGATGTGTTGCTCAACAGCTGAAGCCACTGTGAAGAGAAGCGAGGAAACACTGAGGGGAGAGGCGAGGGGCTTTCTGTCTGGGCGGAGGGCAAACTCCCAGCTCGATAAGAAAGGTGAGAGGTAAACATTGACCTGAGTCATATCGCTGCTTGTCCAAGTCCATCTTTCACTGGAGAAACTATGCAAACAGCAGGGATGCACTGATAACTCTCTTTCACTCCAAGCAGTAAACGTTAAGTATCGTCTGATAACAAGGACCAGACCTTAGGCGTCACAGTTTCTACATTAATTTAGGTTGTTCGATGAAAATGATCCATGGAATCTAATTTATCTACTTCAGATCAATCTTTGCATTTCAGTGTTGATTTCTTTAAACCATGACCACGATTTTTGGGATAGAGTGGGATAGAAATGTTAGTGGCAACTTTGTTCAGGCTGAACCCTTGGGACAGATATCAATGCTGTCCAGAGGATGAAGCCTGATGACTTTAACGATCACCTTTCATGTTTCAGCACCAACATGATAAAGTTGCCTTAGATCTCTGCTCTAAGTGAACTTAGCTCTGATCACATGGCATGGCCATGTGTTGCAGCCCATTCTCATTCCCAGGTCATCAAATACCAACTGTTTGGCCCTCTGTATTTTATACTATTAGGTACTGTTTACCGTCTGTATGAGAAGTAACAGACTTTAAAGGGTATAGCAGTATGTGACGCTGCAGGATGTGAGTAAGCACATTGTTTTTTGACGAGCTCGTGAGAGACAACATGTTGCAACTGAGGAAACATGTATTGCTGCTCTTTTGGGCCTGTGCAAGTCTACCAGTTTTTCGATGTAGGCGCAATTTGGCTCCTCTTAAATTTGGATTTCCATGGGTTTGTTTTGGACCCATGAAGACCTACATTGGAAAAATGACTTACTTGGAAAAGCAAAAAGCTGCGGGCAGGTCCAGTGGGCAGATATAATCAGGGCAGCTGGGAAACAAAAATGGGAGGATGAAGCAGTAAAACCACAAGAGAAGGTTTTACTTCAGTTCAAACAAAAGAGGGAAGGTAATACAAGATGACCCATCTGTTAATGGCTAACTGGATCAGTACACATGCAGACACAAATGCTGCCCTCCTACATGAGCTTCATACAAACCTGTAGGCAAACATATAGATGTGCACATAAAAAGGCATTTGTACACAAATACATCACCAGAAGAGTGAAATGGCCACTCCACAGTGTCACTTTCCAATTAGGTTGGTTTAACAATCCTCGTTAAGACAAATTCAGTCTCTCTCTGAACTTTCCCATTCATCACATTGTTAGAGGATTATATTTGATAGCAGTTTTGCAGTGCAGTCATTTCCTGGACTAAAATGGATATTGGTGTTTAACCATATGTGTAGGTAATGTTTACAACATTGGTACAAGCCACATGGTTGGTTTCACATATAAGACTCTTTAAATACAGCTTTATGACACCGTGATGTCAGAGAACACACACTCATGCATGCGTGTGTAAACATATTCCAACAACTGTCGCTCCAAACATGAAGTCAGGATATTGAATCTCTCTGTGACTCTCACTGTTAATAAGATCCATACAACACATTTCCTGTCCATCTCAGTTGTAAACACACCACCAACCTGCTAACATACGGCACCGTCATGTTTGACTAGGACTGTACATGATGCCAGCTATGTCCAATTTAATGACACGTGAAACAAACAGGGAGGGGAGAAAAGCTTTGAAACACTATTTTAATGCAGCTTGCGGGGAGATCTGGACAAAAAATAAATACAGCTCATTCTATATTAAATCCCATTTCTGCCAATAGATCCTGCTAAGTGTGACACACTGGACCTTTTAATATATATTTAATACTAATACATCATTTTGAAAGAAAATATAAGATCACTGAAATTTAAAATAAGTTTTACATTTCCTGTAATATTTTTGTTCAGTGTCAGCCTGCTTCATAGTCACGTTCATGAATGTAGCACAAATATACATCGATGATTAATTACATGAATGAATGAAAGGTTTAAAAACAGCAATTGTGGCTAAATGCAAAAATGTCACTTAAAGCCTCAAATAAAAGATGGATTGAATTTTCCCAGAGAAGAAATGTTGTAAAACATGCTAGACAAACCCAACTTCCTCATTTTAAGTAGAAGCCTGTCATGCATGAGAAACAAAAAGAAAGTAAAAATGCAGATTATATTATTGCACTTCATTGTATTGTCTGTGTCTGTGTTACAGTATTACCAGTTACTATTTTCGGACCTGTAAATACAGTTCCTGTCTACATTAGATGAGGACTGATTGTATTTATTTGCAAGTTCAGATATTTAAATTAATAAAATAAAACACAAGTGTCTGAAAAGCCATTGTTGGCTGATATGAGCTAATTGCAGATGCTCCAGCTTCAGTGTATAGGTCAGATGATAAACAACAAAGAATTTTGGTTTGTCCACCAGAGGGCCCTGACAGGTTTCGTCTTTCAACTATACAAAAAGGACTCTGAATATTTTTTTTTTTTTTTGTCCAATTACAGTTATTAGTAACACTTCCAGTCACCACGATGACCTAAAGGGCTTGGTGGTAACTTGCAGTTGTACTAAGCAAATCTTTCCTAATCCTGCTTCCCATCCCACTATTGCTAAAGCACAGTCCAGTTGTTAGACCTTACTTTTCTATCTATCAGATGCATATTGTGTAATTACATGAGGATTATGGGAGAACAATGAATGTCATCCACATCGATCCCCCACATCAAGAATTTATAAAAAAAATAAAATAAAATAGGAAAATAAAATGTTATAATGAGCCAACATTAAGGGTTCAGGTTGACAGTGGCACTGTGAGGACAACTGGTCTGTGTCTCCATCTGCTGGTCAGTTGCTGTACTGCCACAAGGACACCAAGTTTTATTTAATTTGTTTGGTTGTCTTTTATTTATTGTTTTTCTGTATTTACAGCAATATATGTTTATATATTATTATAAAATATTATTTTCCTAGTGCTTTTAAATACATATATTCACAGCAGGAACTAAAATGTGCAGAAAATATAATAAGTTGTAGTATAATTAATATTATAAAATATTTTCTGGACATTGTTTTTTGTGTCTGGTCAATTGTTTTAGTAAAAAGGATCAGTGCACCCAAATAAAATAAACTTTATCATTCACTTATAGTCATATCTTGGTATGCAGCAAAGGTTTGGCACCATGCTGCGTCGTCCTGCATTGTGAGGCCTAACATGTTGGACAACATAAGACATCATAGATTCATCATAAATTAAAATGTTAAAATGTCCCTGTACTTCTTCATTTTCCCTATAGTCTTTAATTTTGTGTTTCACCTCCCCTGTGTCTACGGTGCTCCTGTTTGTCTCTGTTTCTGTGTGTTGTGGGTCCCCTCCTGTCTCCCAGCTGTGCTCTTCTGCACACCAGTCTGGAATCAGCTCATCACCACTCCCAGCTGACCTACCTGACCTGCATAGGTATCCAGCATCATATCATTCAGTCAGCATCATCAGTTTTAGAATAAAGCTTCTTAACTTCATGACATCTTTGTATCTGTGTCTTGCATTTTGGGTCCATGTCCACCCCTTAATAAAAACAGGGTAGTGCTGTAGCCAACTTAAAGTCTTTTTTTGCCCATTTAGAATCATCCAGGTTCTCATTGTCAGTGAGGCTTAGCACACAACACAGATTTTCTGTCTGAAAAGTCCATTTGAAAACTCCTTCAGTGATATCAGATGAAGGGTTCATTTGCAAAAGCAAATATCTCTTATTTTAATATTGTGTTTTTAATCAAACTGGTGTCAGTTTATTTGTTTTTAGAATGTCGGTTGAATAAATCAAATTCTTCATTTTCAAGCACAGAAACAGAAAAATAGCGCAATGTTAATGAACCAGGACAGGCAGTAATAAAACTTTAAAGTTGAAGTTAGTTACAGCTTAAAAAAATACTAGCTAAGTAAAAAATGAGGGTACTGGAGTCTGATATATTCAGCAGGGAGAGAATTGACACTGGAGGTCACACAGGTGTGTTTCAGAGAACATTTTAATGAATCTCATCCCTGATTCTTAACATCAGTTTAGCATATTAAATGACAAAATGCATAAAAGATCATTGAGTTCATATTTAATATTCAGAGGATGACATTTTAAATGAGTCAGAGGTTAAAACCAGCAGGGAACAAGTTCAGCTTGCAACTTGAACCTTTGTAACTGTATTTTTAATCAACATCACAGGTCAAATCTGAGTATAAGCAATCTTTGACTGCGTGACACTCATATTTTTTACCATGGATTACCACATCTACTGGTGTAAACTACAGTTCTGTCCATAGTAAAGTAGTCGAAGCTGCACATAGTGAATTTAGTCACCATGGAAATAAATTCTTCAAAGTCCACTTGGCCGTCCAGATTCTGGTCCATGTTGGTCAAGATCTCTGCTGTTTTTTGAGGGTCCTTGCTCCGCTTTAAAAGAAAGACAAATAAAATAAAAGGCCATACATACATAAATAAATATAATCATATTCATCAAATTCTGCAACACCCTCATTTGTACCATTCCCATGAACAGACAGTGAGACTGAGGTTGGTACCTTGATGAGATCTCCGAGCTCTTCGTGAAACATATTACTCATCTCCCTTCTGCTCAGGTGCAACCTGTCGCCATCTTTTAGTGCGTAGCACTCGAACAGCTCAACAAGGCTGCTCATGGCTGATTCCAGTTTACCAGACATGTTTCGTCCTCTGCAGAATGTCTTGGAAGTAAAAGTTCAAATAAATCTGCATAAGACAACTAAATGGTATCATTAAAGTCTCTAAATCTCAGGTGACACACTTCTATTCTTCTGGCTTTTTAGTTCTTGTTTTGAAAGCAAATGAAAATGCATCAGATCACAGAAACAGCTCATATTATCTCATCAAACTGGGGCACTATCGCCTCCATTTCTCAGACCCAGATTAAGCATGATGTTACTGACTTTGAAAGGTCCACAGAAATGTTTGTGTTATTCAAATCAAGACACCACATTATCATAAAGTGGATCTGGCTTCTTTATATAAACTAATCCTTTGAAAGCTTTAAAATGTATGAACAAAATCATTTTATTACGTTGTTGAAACTGCAGCTATGCCTCACTCCTTTAGAGGAAATGTGCTGTTTTCTATTAAGAACTTTTACTTCCTTAAGATCCTGTCATGAATACTTGGTTTGGTCTGTTTTATAAGACATGTAAGCATAATTGTTTCCACAATGTGTTGTCAGTACAGTACAATGATCATGATCATCAAGGTTTTTCAAAAACAGAGTTACTGTTACATACATAATTTGTTCATGAGACATGAGTCATATTCCAAGTGTAAAATGCTCAATTCATATTTTGGTCACAGTATCAATAACCAAACTGAACCAAAACATTTGCTTAAGAAATAATTTTTTATGTTATATAAAATGAATAATAATATTGGCCGATAGATATTTCACAGTTTAAAAATCTGTTTATCAATATAAATATTAAATCCCCCTTAAATTAAATATTACAGTATTAACCTAGTTTTGATAGAAAGTTGCATCATACGGTTTTGTGCCAGCTGATCTAAAGGCATCCAGGACTGCCGCCTGATTTCCAGGAATTATTCAATTATTGCTATCTCCTATTTATACAAATATATATTCATAGACTTGAACATAGAGTCTTAAATGTTCCTTATTGAAAATGCCATTCCAAATATTACCATATATACACTCACCTCTACAAAGCTGTTAAGGAAGATCAGATGATCTCAGGAAGGAGAAATAACATTCACCTTCATCTCATTGCTTTTATAGTGCTGTCAGTAGAGATAAAATCTGGCTCTTTACTCTGATGCCATCAGTTTGGGCGTGGATACATCTTTATCAGTACATCTGGGTGTGTCATAATGATTATAAACTCTATTTATATTGCACTATTCTTAATGTTACAAAGTGTTGTACAAAAGGAAAAAGAAAAACTAAACAGGACAGAAAAACATATATATAAGGAATATAAGCACAGAAGTAAAAACTAAGAATATAATGAGTAACAATAAATAAAAAGGAATAAAAACATATCAAATATTTCCAGAAACTCACACAAAAGATTTAAAAGAAGAGTCTCTCAGTTGGGGGCTCTAATGGCAAAAGTCCGATCCACAGAAAAAATAAAACAGATCCATAAAAATGACCTTGGGATTGTCTTTAGCTGGGTGAACCATGACTGAACATTTTTGACTTGCTCATCATCACAGGTTTGCATCAACTATTACCACAAGATTCCTAGCAGCCTGCTTAATATTGTCTGACAGACTACCAAGATTTGCACAAAGGGAGCTCATGGAATTAACAGTGGTTGAATAGTTTTTTGGATTATGTGTGGCCTGTGAACAAGTCGACACTTTCAAGTGTTAAGTGAGATTTTTTGCATGTGACTTCTTGTCATCCAGGCTTGTTGTGTTTAGGAAAATAAACCAATAAACCGCAAAAACAAGTGAATGACTGCTACAGTGTAATACACTGGTTAGCTTTTTAATATTTCAATCTCAGCCTGGCCTACACTTTTAGTGCAACTGAATTATGATGTGAAATCAGTGGCGTGAATATAGCTAAGACAGCCATCCATCCTCTGATTTCCCAAGGTCTCTAGTTTGTGGTTGTACATTTTCAAGAAGCTGTGATCCTCCTAGAGGTCACAATTTTATACAGTGAGGTCAAGTTTCTCTCATTTAAATTATAGAGGTATGGTACAGCGAAGATTCTTGTTCATGTTGCGTAACTTGCATGAACAGGTCACATACATCAGGTAGATGCCTATCTGAACAATCTTGTGACTCCAGACCGTCAGACAAGATACCTGTCTGTACATCGAGGAGAGTTGCCTTGTTTTTGAGCTGCCACTTCTAGTCTGCACTCACTGACTTCAACATGGTGTAACTGCAAGTTAGTGAAAGCAGTGACTTTATCACACACATTCCACAGTAGATTCAAAAGTTACAGACAGGTATCACATTTCAACTTTTGTTTGTCCCAGGAATGTGACTCTTACTGATAATGATGTTGCATTGTTTTTTTTTTTTTCTGTCAGTGCGTATTGGGTCATGCTGGATGGGCACTATAGTATAAGTATAAAGAGGATGAACATAGAGGAAATTATTTAAATTGTGTATGAGGGACACTGTGCTGGATACAATGAATATTCAAGATAAACAATAAGTTAATTCATTAAAAAGAGAGGTAAGAGGAAGTGTTTTACTTCCTTCCTCGTTTCAGACATGTAATAATTATTTATTGTTATTTGGTGGTTAGCTTGTGAACCTAGGTGCAAAAAAACAAGTCAGAGGATGGGTGAGGGGAATGTAGAGCTCAAGAAGATGGCTCAGGGCTGAGCTGGCCAGTGGGTGTCCGAGAGTCCAAAGAGATCCAACCTGAGCTGAGAATATGAAGAGGCTTGATTATGGAGATGAGTAGCAGGTGGAGGTTCGAACCTGACTCCGGCACACCTGCAGACAATCTCAAAAACACAAGAGGAGGAGAAAGAGAGCGCGTGCGAGAGAGAGAGAGAGCAAGTGGGAAAGAGAGCGAGAGAGGCTCCAGGAGGAACGTCAGGTGGCTGAAGCTGTCATCCCAGGGGCATATGCAGCTATGTAACTGAGAATATGTTTGCTGTTCATTCTTTCGGTTATTCTTATTTGTCTTCCCTGACTTTGTCCTGCTCCTATTCTATGTTTTATTTTATTTATTTATTATTTTTATATGTGACCTAATTAAACCTTCTGGATTTGCAAGTGTTTTACAGTAAAGTATATTACATCACTTTACAAAACACAGACTGCTTATGAACCTGTAAACAATCATTGTAGGATATATGAGGAAAAGTTTAGAAAAATCTTTCAACTGAATGCAGTTACATCAAACTCTGCCTATATTCAAATATCATCACTGTTAATGTTAATGTGGAGTCATCTGCCTGCAGGTGCCAATTGCAGACACTTGATGGCACTATTGTTACGTGATTATAAAGCCGCTGACTGGCCATTAAGGCCCCTGTCTTTCCACTCTGTGTGGCCTCTTCTCTCTATCTTGGTCCAACAAACATATCGCTGCTTTGCATTTTACAGTCTCTGTTCGCAGCTGCAGCGTCACGCCAATGGGGCTTGCGTTTCTGAGGAGTGTCAGCATAAATGGCTGTCAGACAAGCTGCTGTTACATAATTGAATAAGCTTCACAACTTTGTAGGGGTCCATATTGAGTTTCTCTGGACTGCATTGTGTGCCGTCCTTTTGAGGGCTGCGCTTAATGCTTCTTCGCGGACGTGTGTTAATAAAGACAAAGGCTGTCAGGCTCATCGACCCTGTCACTCGTCTGTGCTGCAGTTTGAGTCAAGCTGTGCATTTCATTAAGCTGTAATCAGTTTCACCTCGATGCCAGCTGGAAATGTATCTTTTTAGATATTTTTAGAGTCAATATCCTCATCCCCATTTCTTTCTGTATCTTAGAAGTATAAAAAAAGCCATATCTTAGTATCTTGTATTTAAGGCTTTTAACTGTGTCTGGTCTTAATAGTTATCCAATTAGTTGTAATATGTGCAGCCATCTATGCTTGACTCTTTAGTGTGGTTTGTCCTCTCCGTCAGTTAGAAACCTGCAGCCCTAAGTATATATTCCAGGAAAATAGCCTATAAATCTTCTGCAGTATAGGTCTCACTGTTTCCCCACTGTTTTACTAGATTTTAGCAGTGTCTCTGTCTGTAGGTTGGTTAAATTCAGAAAGAGATTAGTTAAAAAAAGGTTAACTTGTTGCATTTGAGATTTTATGTTTTATGGTTTGATGCCATTTTACCGTTTCTCCATTACATCCTCATCTTTAATATGGACCTTTTGTAAGTGTTAATGTTTAATGGATTTTTGCCTTTGCTTTTATTTCCCTGTGTACAGAGGTTGCCCTTGAGAGTGAACTGACCTTTTTCACAGCAGCCATTTTGACAGGAAATAGTAGGATAGGGTACACAGATGTTCCATTCAGGTCAAACAGAGAGAGGTTGCTGCTTGAAATATGCCCTGCTACACTAAATGGAAAGGAACCTTTATTTGTATCATTGGTAACAACGGTGTTCACCCTACTACTTCATGTTAAAAAGGCTGCTGTGAAGAAGGTATATTTGAGCTCTGTATAAATAAAGATGGAATGAACAAATTAATAAAAAGTAGTATAAAAAGGTAGAGTTTTACGTTCTCTCCATGTCATTTAAAGGATTTGTTTTAAAAATTGTACTATTGACATACAAGGCATTATATGGCCAGGCCCCCCTTTCTGACCGCGATTGCCTCAGATCCTCAGAGCAGAGATTTATGGCTGCTTCAACATCAAAGCTGAAAAATAAAGGTGATCATGCTTTAGCTGTGGTTGCTGCTCGATTCGGAAACGGCTTCCTTAAAAGACTCAGAGAAGCCAAATCAGTCCAAGACTTTAAAAAGGGGCTTTTATTATCTGGGCTGAACACTTAATTCTCCTCTTTTTCCAGTCTTCCATGTCTCTTTTAATCCCCTGCTTCTCTAAATTCTTAATATCATATTATCAAAATATCAAATCTGGTGACTTGTGATGTGTGTGACATTTATAATTATTTATGACTGGATCCAAGCCATTGATCCAAAAATCAATAATAAATGGTAATAACCAGTGCCTGCTGCCTTCATTTCTAAAATAGCAACACGAACAACCAAACATGCAATGCAAAGTCACAATCCAGTTGCATTATTCCTGTGAGATAATGGATAAGAGACGCAGAAGAGCAGAAGATGATGTGATGGATGATGTAGAGTGACTCAGCTGTTCAGATGGAGTTCATGCTGCAACACCTGTAAAACTGCCTTACTGGATGTTTATGCTGGTTCAAAAGTTGCATGGGGAGGGGGAAGTGCTGATTTTACACATCAAAGTCTATTTATATTATTATATTAGGTCTTGGCTTTTACTACTGCATATACACTCCTGAACAAAATCTTAAGACTGGGGGAAAAATTGCAAGTATTCGCATTTCACGTTGGTGGAACGTAACAAGGTTGTAAGTAGAGCTTTAAAATGCAAAAAGAAGAAACAGGAGCAAGAGACAAAAAAATAGAGTAGGCAATTTATTGAAAACTGCAATTAAACTCAAATAGGCTGTTCATCAGCTGATCAAAAGTTTAAGATCATAGCCCCAAAAAAAGGAGGTTGGTGGGAACTTTGGTCCATGTGGTGAAGATGGCTTCCAGAAGGGCATCCATGGTCTGGAACTGATCTCTGTTTTTATAAACTTCCCATGCCATCCATCCCCAAACTTTCTCAATGGGATTTAGATCAGGGGAACATGCAGGATGGTCCAAAAGAGCGACGTTATTCTCCTGGAAGAAGTCATTCGTCAGGCGGGCATTGTGAACTGCAGCGTTGTCCTGTTGAAAGACCATCATCAACCCCACAGACGAGGGCCCTCAGTCCAGAGGGATGCCCGCTGAGACATCTCCACATAGCCAGCCGCGGTTTGACTCCCCTGCACAACCTGAAGCTTCATTGTTCCATTGAAGGAAAAAGCACCCCAGATCATGATGGAGCCTCCTCCACTGTGCTGTGTAGAAAACATCTCCATTGGGATCTCCTTGTCATGCCTGTAACGTTGGAAGCCATCAGGACTGTCCAGGTTACATTTTTTCTCATCAGAGAATAAAACTTTCTTCCACCTTTCAATGTCCCATGTTTGGTGCTCCCTTGCAAAGTGCATACGGGCAGGTTTGTGGTGTGGGAGGAGATGTGGCCTTTGAAGACGTTTCTTGTTCTTTAAGCCCTTCTGTCGCAGACGCTGTCTGATGGTTATTGGGCTACAGTCAGCATCAGTAAGGACCTTAATCTGGGTCGAGGATCGGTCTGTGTCTTCACAGAAAGCCCGCTGGATCCTCCGGCTCAGCGCAGGTGAAACTTTTTTGTGTCTACCACTACCAATTTTTGTCCGATAACCCTCAGGACCTTTTAAGAAATTTAAAATGACTGCGTCCAACCTTGGCAGCGATGGCGCGTTGCGAGAGGCTTTTCTTGTGCAACTCAACAATCCTGTCACATTCAAAGACAGAAAGCCGTTTTGACTTTGCCATCAGGGGGTCATGACAGTGGGAATGCCTGACAGAAAATTACATGAATGCCAGATTTTTGCACAGATTTGGACTTTTTAAGGCTATGGTCTTAAACTTTTGATCAGCTGACGAACAGCCTATTTGAGTTTAAATACAGTTTTCAATAAATTGCCTACTCTATTTTTTAGTCTCTTGCTCCTGTTTCTTCTTTTTGCATTTTGAAGCTCTACTTACAACCTTGTTATGTTCCACCAACGCGAAATGCGAACCCCCGGTCTTAAGATTTTGTTCAGGAGTGTATGTGAAAAGATTGTATGCTATAAAGCCTTTTTAGCCTCCAGCAGGAGCCACACAAAGTCTAATAAATAGCCTAGTAAGTAACATGCGTCAGCGTTGGATTACAAGTCTGAAAATGAAAAAACAAAAATCTGTCTTTATGGAATTGGAAAGCCAGATAATAGCCTGCTCTCCATCTCTGCTTGAGGTTAGCTGCTCCAGGCTACATTAGACCCAACTGTCAGTGGTTGAGTTGTATTGTGGGTAATGTAGGCACCATGTTTTGACAAGGAAGAAGAAGATTAAAAATAAAAAAGACCTTATCTTTGATTTGCAGCATTGATTTTGATACTTTTTTGTTCATTGTGAGTCCAACAATGTTGTACTGCAACTGTACTGTAGCAGTACTCTTTAAACATTAACATTTTACGCCTTGATGCAAGTATTGTCACAGCTGAAAATGAGATATGTTTCAATCAGGAAAGATACCACAAGTGAACAATGATGCAGGAACTTCATCCAATAAAACGACTCTGAAAGAATTGCTATAAAGCGGGCCTTGACACAGGTGATGGTAGGGTAATGAAGACTGCAATGACGACCAAACAGCTAGAGTTGTTTAAAGGAATTGTTCATAAATTTGGGAAATACACTGAGAAGAGGCTACCACTTTCATATCTGTCCGTTCAATAGTTTCAGTAGCTGCTTAGCTTAGCTTAGCATAAACACTGGAAACAAGGGAGCCTGGCTCTGTCCTAAGGCAAAAACATCCACTTACCAGGATCTCTCAAGCTCACCAATTAACATGTTGTATCTTGTTTGCTTGTTTTGTACAAAAAACAGAGTGCGATTGCCTGCGAACCTGAAGTGCCAAGAAATAGCAGCTTCATATTTACCACACTCATCTAAATTCTGCAAGAAAGACTAATTCTGGTGAAATTGTTGGATAAATACAGAGAAGTGGAGTGAATGATGAAATCGTATTTATATCCATGAAGGCCTACCCCTTGATAATCTATAATAATATAATAATTTAAAATTTTTTAAAAGGGACCAGTAAACACTGCTTTGAGAGTAAATTATGGGTATGAGTACACTATGTGTTTGTTCAGATTCATGTAATTCACAGGTAGCTCATTCCTTCTATTTCTCTGACTTCATCTCATCAGATGAAATACATCACACAATCACTCTGGCAAAAAGGTCAAACCATTAAGCACCTGATTTAATGCTACCTTATTGTATGTGAACACAAGACTAATTCAGAGGCAAATTGAAATGGCTTGCAAATGATCTCATAAGTAGATAAAAGCCTCTGTTGGCTGCAGTACAGGTTGCTTTAATAAATATTTGGTTTAGTCAAAGTGACTTTACAGTATTTTTTCTCTGATATGATGAACAGCCATAATGTGTCTGATGAATGAAAGTCGACATCTCAGAGCCCTCAGAATGCACAGCCAGCAGTTTAATTTCAAACAGGAGGAGCAGAGCAGCTGGATGAGCAGTGCACTGTTGAACTGGGAGGATGGGATGACGTCAGGACCAGCAGGCTGACGCTGGTTCCCTCCATTAGACACTGGGTGGTGCTCAGGCGCGCCTTCATGTGATAGGCCTTAGCTGTTCTTAATTTTTTTCATGATTTTCAATTGTTATAAGTATTGAAGAATATATTATATTATTATATATTCAAAAACTGAATCTGAACAATGGACAAAGTTGTTAATAACTTAATAAAGGTTTAATTCCCGGCTAACGCGGCTGCATTTGCAGTCTATTGTCTGTCTGCTGCCGTCTGGTGGAGGCAGAGTCGACTTTTTGGAGCAGAAGATAAACCTGCCTTGTACTGGCGGCAGTATCATGACACCAGAGCTTGTGTTTCTGAGGATTCTCTGCATAAATAGCTGTCAGACAAGCTCCTGTTTCATGATTAATGATGCTTCACAACTTTGTAAGGGCCGATATCGAGTTTCTCCAGACTGCTTTGTGTGCGGCCCTGTTAAGGGCTGCGTTTAACCTTAGATGCTTCTTTGCTCTACTTGTGTTAATGAAGACAGAGGATGTAAGGTCGCCTCTGTCACACATCAGTGTTGGAGTTTGAGTCACACTGTGCACATTGTGTAGCTGTTTTGGGAGTGAATGGGTAATGTGTCCCTTCTGATTAGTATTAGCATTCACACCTTCAGTTTTCAGCAAAGATTTCTCAAATTTAGACATATCTCTTTAAATCTACAAACAGTTTCTTGGGGACTCAACTTAAACCTGGTTCCTTTGGGTTTCATTACTTTTTGCTGCTGGTCAGACTTAAGGAGCAACTTGTGATATTTGTCATTCCTGACTTATGTAATGTGTCAAAATAGTAATACTGAAAATAATGTGATTCTTCCCTAACTTGTGTTTGATTTTGAATTCATGAAATAGTATTTCTATCACCAGTAAGCAATGGGTGTAACATAGCTGTTGTAGAGAATATAAAACATTCCAGTACAAAGTCCTGTGCTTTAATATCTCTCTGCTTTCTGTATTTAAACTGAGTCAACACTGGACCAAAGGCTGAGTGATTAATTATGATCTCAATATTTCTTATTTTTCTGACTGGTAGGCATTTGGGAGAAACTCTTATTGAATTACTCCAAAAACAAAGGTCAAACCAGGAGCACCTGATGGAATAGTGTGCAACCCTATCTATACAGAGACAAGAGCAATTCAGAAACAAATTCAAATTGGTTGAAAATGATCTAATAATTGCATAAAAGCCTCTGCCTGCGGTGTGTCGCTTCAATGTCTGTCTGTTTTATCTGCTAGTCAAAGTGACTTTACAGTATTCTTTGATATGAGCAGCCATAATGTGTGTGATGAATGAAAAGTCTCTCAAGAGCCTCCAGGGCTGACGTCATTTAATGTGCCTGGCCAGCGCTTCCCTTTCAGAACAAAACAGGAGGAGCAGCGAACTGCTGGAAGGGCTGACGTCAGGACCTCAGCAGCTGGCTGACGTGAGTTAACCCAGTCAGACACTGGATGGTGCTCGAGGTTGCCGGTCAGTTAACATGTGAACAAGTCTTATTTTACTCAAGTTTTCATAGTACATCAGAATGAATAATAAAAAAAACATTAAGTAAAGTCTCTTAAATTCAAATTCTATAATTGCTGTACCTGTAAAGTGTTTAAGACATAAGCAGTTCATCTTGTTTCTTAAAATAAGAGACGTGAAAACAGGATATAATTTTATTAAGGCAGAAGACTTTAACGTGTTTGGGATGCATCTTTTGCAACATTACAAGGTTCTGTGGGTAAGGAATGAGTCAAACCTTTACATCCAACATTTTTATTGATTTAATGTGAAATATACTTTCAGTCTTTCTTAGAACCATGGTCCTTCTCGTCTTTCACGCAGCTCTTATCGCAGTCTTTGAAGAATTCATGGCAGGCGACACTCAGTGCAGCAACCAGAACAATAAACTCCTGGAAGTCCACTTCACCATCCTTGTTTTCATCCAGGTCACCCATAATCTTGTCAATCACGTCGGGGTCTTTGCTGCACTAAAGAAAAAGTAGTGTCATGATGAAAATCAAACAAAGAGAAATTAGTCTCAGCTTCACATACTTAAAATGGTAAATGGACTGTACTTATATAGCGCCTTTCTAGTCTTTCGACCACTCAATGCACTGTACACTACATGCCACACTCACCCATCCACACACTGATGGCAGCGGCTGCCATGCAAGGTGCCAACTGCTCATTCGAAAAAGAAACTAAGTGCATTCACACACATTCAAACGATCTCTTGCTCAAGGACACTTCGACATGCAGTGAGAGGACATTTCTGATTAGTGGACACCCCGCTCTACCTCTGAGCCACAGCCACCACTTAAGGTACACTATATGGCACGTACAAGGGATTTAGGAGAATTTGTGTTGCGAATCATATACAGTCTACACTGGGGAAACACTCATTTCACTCATAAAAATCATAATGGCTTAATTTGAATGAATTTGGAGTAAAAAAAAAAATGAATTAAAATAAACAAAGCAAAACATATTAATGTTGTGAAAATGTCTCACTGACAGCTGCCTCAGGGTCTTTATTCGGGTTGCTGTCTGGTTTCCCCCTCTGTTGGAACTAACAGTGCAACATCACCTACTGAAGACTACAATACTCTGTTCAATATGTCTCCGACTGTCACGTTACCTTGACCGTCTCTCATATTAGTCAAGGACTGCTTTTCTTTAGAAAGGTTTTTGCATCTGTAATTCATGCAAAACCATTCCATATTTATTTCTGTCACAGTACTACACTTCCCTGATGACACATTGTTGGCAGCTGTATTCATATTTTCCAATTATGGGTCCTCTGACACAACTGACACTGCTAAATGTGTTATCTTATTGTTTACCAATTTCTGACAGCAGGACTTGAAGCTCTGCAGTGTGAAATTATTCTTTTTACGCTTCGGTAACATTTTTGTGAATGAAACCTGCCTGCAAACAGAACGGAACAGACAGTCTTGCATGGAAATTTTCAGGGTGTCGGTGACGGCAGTGATGAAAGGCTGAAACCAGCACTATACTGGTATTTCATTTGTATTTATGTTTTGTCTTTAGAAGGTCTTTTCTCATTTGTTATTGTAAATGTTCCATTTGTCTATTTATGCTTCTTGACTTACAGTTCTTGATTTCATTTTTGCATTTTTCTTGTTCTGTGTTTGTTATGCACGAATATACCAAGGCAAATCTCTTGTATGTGAAATAAACCTAATTCTAACTTACTGCAAGTATTGTGAGGTGACACAGAACTTTTGGTTACATGTGGGACATGGAGATTCTTAATCTGTAGAAATAGTCTATTTAAATACTTACTGCCAAGAAGTCGGCAAGTTCTCCCTGCAACAGGTTCTTCATTTCACCTTTACTCAGCTTGTACTTGTCACCTTCTTTTCCAGAATAGGAATGGAACACACTGATGAGGCCCTCCATGGAGTTTTGCAGGTTGAAAGCCATTTTTCCCGTCCTTGAGTTAATTCCTGGAAGGACAAATCAAAAGAGCCACTCTTTAAAATATATTAGTCAGAGTGTGATTCAGATCTGTATGCAGAGGACCAGCAGCCTTCATCACCCCAATCAACTCTAGTGCAGAACACATCCTTGAGTACAGGAAGATAAAAATAACTCCATCAGGAGGAAACAAGTCATTGCAAATATCAGCTTAGCAAACATTACTTTTCAGTAGTGTTGAAGAGCAGAGGGTGAAATTGAGTTTTTATATACTGGCACATAACAGAAATTCCCCATCACCACCATGTCTTCGCAGATTCATCAATTTCATCATTTTAGCCTAGTCATCAGCCACCACCACCAATATTTGTACTTTATTTCAGATGTCGTTCAGAATTATTTTATACATACAATAACGTACGATACATACACTGCCATAACATTATGACCACTAACAGCTGAAGTGAATAACACTGATTATCTCATCATCATGGCACCTGTCAGTGGGTGGGATATATTAGGCAGCACTATGACTAATCAATGTATATAAAACACTCACAGGAGCCAAGTCCACAATGTTATTGCAGGGTTCAGACTCAAAATATACAAAAAGACACAGGATACAGGACTCAATGAATTTTCAATGAATACACAGCAATTTTAACTTCTTTCTCAACCCTCAAGTGACCTGAAAACCGATTGGTCCGTCATCATTAAGGACATTAATGTGATGTTATTTCTGAAGAATCAACCAATGCATTTGTAATATTATTCCCACAGTTTAGATTACATTTTATAGTTACAAATACTCTTTTGGGTTAGCCTTCACTGTAGGCCTGATCTAATGAGGGAACTACTTGTTGTGCCTGCTTGCTTGTCAACAAGTTACTGTTAACAGACCACATGCAGAGACTAGTCCATCACATTCTGTCACATGAGGACATCAATCTGTCTGCTGATTGATGAGTATATGCACCGGTAATAGAGGGAATATATTAATAAAAGTCCCTTGTGAATGTAGAAAATTACACCAAAAGCTGGAACGCATAAATGTTTCCCTGTTAGAAAAAAATAATCACATCTTTTGTGTGAGTCACACCTGCTGAGATCTGTGTCACACTCACACATAAAATGGAGATGGAAGGAGGTCAGGAATGACAGTCAAGAGTTTAAAAAGAAAAAAAGGTTTAAATATCTAACCTTACACCTGCCCTCCATTATCAGACACCTGAGAAGCTGCTACAGGGGGGGCGTGAGTCATTTCACCCACCCCCATGAACCAGTGGAGGACAAAGGGCAGACCCCCTTGCAGGGCAGGTTGCACGAAAAATAGATTTAGATGGTGTCTTGCATTACCGTACATAAACTACCGGATGCCTTCATGCTGCGGATTAACGGTTGGTCATGTTTCATCGTTTAGATTGATGATTCTCATCTATATGAGGAGAGACGCGCTCTGGTCAATAATGCAGGTCGCTCTATATACCTGTCTGAGTGTGTGAATGACCGACTGTCCATCCACAGACTGAGTGGAAGATCCTGCATCCCGTTTCTGTACGCCACATCCCCTTAATTAGTCTCGATAATTGCGTTAATTATCTATTCCTGCCTCGATCAGGGAGCTAATTAAAAGGCTTTGAACGTCAAATGCAAAGCTGGTGTTAATTAACTGAGGCAGAGACTAAAGCACCAAGATTTTGGAAATGCTTAAAACAGACTGCAGATACCAAGCCAAATGAAAATAATCAAATAAAATAATTACATAAAGACTACATCACTTTGCGCTTTTATCTGTATAGCTTCTTTTTAAAAAGGAAACGAACATAAAGAGCAGGAACTCACCTGGACACTGATGCTAACAGGTGCTGGAGGAAGTGGTTTCAGCTCTCATCTCATCAGTTATATGGGCTCTCTCACCTGTGCGCAAACACATCCAAATCAGATAGGCGCCTCCCTCTGGACAGCAGCGTCCACATCACCTGCTGCACAGGGGAGCCATTTAAGGCAACCACAGGCCACTGCACAGCACAATGAGCTTTACTGATAACTTTACCTGACCATAGCAGGAAAAGCACTGCTGCAACCAATAACAGGAGTAGCTGGATGCTCCCGAGGACAAAACTGGCATTACTGGTTTAGGAGCCAGTGAAGAAAATCTTAATAATCCGTCACTGAAGAGTAAAAAACAAACTACAAACCTCTGTGTTATCCTAGATTCAGACCTACATTACAGTACTTGCATTAACTCAACAACAAAATCAGCCTTCTACCACCTTTAAAAATATATGAAGGATAAGAGACTTGAGGTCAGAACATGATCTGGAGAGACTAGTACAGTACATGCCTTTACCCAGGCTTGACTACACTAATGGTCTCTTCACAGGTCTGTCTAAGCCAGCAATCACACAGCTGCAGCTGACCCAGAATGCTGCTGCCAGGGTTGTGGCAAGGACCAAAAAAGCACAGCTTATAAGCCCAGTTTCCAGATCACTACACTGCCTACCAGTTTCTCACTGAATCAACTTAAGAATTCTACTGCTTGCCCATAAGTCACTGAATGGTTTAGGTGCAAAATTCTGCCTGTGTGCTTCCTCTTATTGCTTTTATCATTTGTTTCTTGTTTTGCTTGTGCTTTTGAACACTGTAAAGCATTTTGGGGTGCCTTGGGTATGAAATGTGCTATTCAAATACATTTGCCTTGCCTATCAATGTGTGCCAGTAGCATATGAACCATAGCCATCATCATTTGTATTGGTTACATTTCACTTAAATATTCAAAAACTCCCAAGATGTCAGTAATCAAGGAAAAATTGTTATGGCTAACATGTTTCTGTTCTGTTCCATTCAGGTCATACGGAATCAGAGTGTTGTTATTGTGCATGTTGCCTCACTGGAAATGCTCTGCTACACTAAATGGAACAGGAAATGTTAGGAATTAGTATAATTCGTAACACCTGTGTTTACCCTACTCCTTCATGTCCAAGGGCTTCTGTGAAAAATGTCTATTGCCTGTTTAGGCATCGAACTGATATGGTGCACAACATTAGTACTTGGAGTCTAACTGGATAAGTGGGATTATTTTTTTAATCAAACAACATCCCAAAAAATGCTCAGTGATTAGTGATCAGATGTCTTTCCTTATGATTCAACCTCTTATAATTTCATTATGCATTATTAATTGGTCTGTATATGTAGTTTTTAATGTTTGATTAGACTTCTCATAGATTGTGTTATAAGTATCATGACTGTTTTTCTTTGTCTCTGCCCTGTTCTCTCTGTGTGCCCTGTTCCAGGTGCCACCCTCCCCTTCCCCTGTATTAAACATCTGAGGTCCTTACAATTATGTGGGCTCATCTGGGATACACAAAATGAAGTGTGCAGAACAATGAATAAATCAACATACAGAAGTGCTTTCTTCTTTCTTCTTAACATTAACAATATGTTTTCTGTGTACACTTTTTTTTGTGATTTGGTCATTTTAGGTCAAAATAGATGTTAATCATTTCAAGCCGCTCCTCAGGGAAACTCCATTGCATTTATAGTATAGCTTTCAACACAAAATCCATTATGACCTGAGCTCTGTTAACCTATACAGTTTTATCTTTAGGAGCTTTGCACATCCCCGTGTGCAATATGCCAAATATAGCACTCCAAAATGTCTTAATTACTATTTGGCATTTGCCTCCAGTGCTACTGACAAATAATACAAGAAATGGGCTGAAGCAATTACTAAATTTTTCCTGCCATAGCTTTTTTTCCCTTTGTGTTCATTTTATTAGGCCTCACTTATGCTTATTAGGTGTGACTAATGCTTTCCCGCCACATCATTTGCAATTAAGGGAATGATTATGCTTGAATGACAGTGCAACTTGAGTAGCAATACAAATTAAGTTCAGGCCAGGCAACCAAAATCCTCTTTTCACTGAATGCAAACCATTGGGGTTGATTTACATCGGTATCTCAAGTTGACCAGTATAAAGGCTTCATGGATATTTGCATGCTTCTAGTTAAACATTTAACTTGGGGCTTCATTTCTCAAAAGTAAAGTGCATTTAATACAGCGCTGCAAAGAAAAAAGGGTCACCACAGTTATGAGATAATTTGGTAATCTTTGACTATTCAGCTTTCCATTAGAAACACAAATGTATCTTATGTACCCATAACAATATTATATATACAATATCTGAAAATCTCATTGATATGGATAACTACTTTTTACCTCGGTGTCTGTGCAAATTTTAAAGATTAAAAATGTCTTCCATAAAGTAATGTTTCAGAATGCCACAATTGACTACATTATTAAAGAAAACCAACTGAGATCCACAAGAAGTGGATGGGTGATGTATTAAACTTCTACAACTAAGACTGTTTTTATTTGAGTGTACACAAAATACATCAATACAGCAGAGAAAGAATGAATTAAATTTAGGCACATATTGTAAATTTCTGTTGTGTCTGTAAATGATTGAACACTGTAAAGCACTTTGGCACTGTATGCCTGTTTTGCATATCTGATTCTGCACACAAAACGTTTAACACTGTTAAAAACTGTTATTTCATGTGTTCCATGGTAGCATTCCTTATACTCTGAAAGTGCTTTTATTACATAGAATACTTCACATATACAGTGGTGAGGACTTGTGTGGCCTGATTATTCATCATAAATGCAAATACATACCAATTCACCATTATTTTCTGATATACTGTCTGTACTCTCCCTTTCTTTCTACAAGTTCAAGAGTGTCATCTACTGGCCATTTGCAACTCTGCAAACTGCCTTACATGTAAACTCAGGGTTTCCAGATACTGACTAAATACTGAACGTGAAATGCTTTCATGGCACAAGTGTGAGCTCAACTCACTCAAATTCATCCATATATAACAGCTACTGTTGTCCAAAGTATCGTACAATAAAAATGCTTAAAAACAATGATAAAGTATTTACATTTGCCCACTGTCCATGGCATGCTTCAATCAGTAACATAAAACAAATTACAAAAAAATTGGAATAAAACTTGCAAATCAGCCTATAACATTACTTTTCATTGATGACATCTAGCAGACATGTTACTTTATAACACTTTAATACTTTGGCTAATATTGGTTCTATAAATAGGAAACTGTTGGACAACTGGACAAAATCAAGTTAAGACAGCCATTTGCTAGCAATTAAATTTGTATTTACCTGACCATGATGCTTAACCTTTGCCTGTATTCAAATGCTAACATGGAGTGTTGAATCCAATAATCTACCAAGATTTACTTGTGGTTTTGGGCCAATCTCCCTTAAAACACAACAAGTATAATATAGCCTGTGTGGCCTTTGGCCCGGCCCTGGAGTATCAGAATTGGAACCTTCATGATCTCGTACCTCTGAGGGCCAACAATGTAACAGAACACAGTCTTTTTTCAATGTGGCTCTTGTCACCACATCTTCCTGGCACCTCGCTTGTTATCCAGAGTGCGACATGGGAGATCTCATTTGAGCCATTGAGTTTGTGGCCTTTCAGCGCCTGTCAGCAGGGCACCTGGCCTGAGAAGCTCAGAGGGAGTGTGGAGTAGAGTGCATCAGCTCGGGCCTCAGGGATAACATGACAGAGTGCCATAGGCAGAAGGGGATCGTGTTTTTGTCTGTTATCATAATGAGACATTGGCTTTTGCTTCCAGCACGATATAACCCGCACACAAAAGTTCACTTGAGTTCAGGCCATTACTGAGACAATACGGAAGGAATCTGAGCAATTGTGCAATATTCATTTTTTTAAACTTTTGCTCAAAATTTCACCAGAGGGATTTGTCTCTGATTTGACAGCTTGTCTTTATTCCTCTTGATAATTTCCTTTTGAGGTTCTGTTTCTTTGTCTACATTAGGTGTTGCTAAATCTGGCCTCCTATCTATGGGGGGCCCAATCACAGAAACGCCTCCTACAGATGACGTTCTGCTCTTAATACTGTGTGCTCCATCTCGGGTCATTGTCGGTTTGCCTAGAACACTCTTCAGCTGCGACCAGAAAAATGCCTGCTGGTTGACCTGCTGGGGCCACTCTAAGTACGTCTTGGTACTCAGCATCTTCTTAAGCTTGCAATACTTGCTGGGCAAGGAGCTGGGATCAATGGGTTCTTTCACCACTAGTATGACATCACTGAAGGTCTTTCCCATTGCTCTCTGCTGAGCGAAGTAAAGCTCATAGTTGCACCACTCACTGTTAACGAAGTGCCGGGACAGGACAAATATTACCTGAGGATAGACACAAAAAATAAAACATGGATTACAATTGCACTATAATAATCTCTTTTACAGAGTATATGATGAGCCATGGGTTGTGTTAGTTAGTTAGGGTGATAGATAGATAGATAGATAGATAGATAGATAGATAGATAGATAGATAGATAGATAGATAGATAGATAGATAGATAGATAGATAGATAGATAGTATTGTTTATTGTACTGGTTCTGATTAAAACTGGCATTTTCATAAAGGATTATAATGCAGAATGTAGCAGAGAATCTCAAAACACCCTAAACCTCTTTACCCCACTTCACTGAATTGATGGAATCATAAATTATCCAAGCTGAGCAACCAATCATAGAGCTGTCTTTTACCATGCCTGTCAGACACTGATTTAACATGGCAGGCGACAGACAGATGCTCAACAAAGGCCATTTGCATCACGATTCTAACATGTGCCACTTCAGAGTATATAATTATTCACTTGCTTCTTCTTCGTAAAGAATGAATATCACAAAAGACATCACATTTTCAGGTAAGTTTTCAGATTACTTGAAGAGCACCTAAGATGGCAGTGGGAAATTTCCAGAGGGGAAGTGCCAAGGGGAAGTCAATACCACAACTGATTAACACCGTCAGCCAACATGGCCCAATCCTGCCATATGCAAGGAGGGAAGCACTGCTTTAGAGACTCAACTCAAAACCCTAAATCAATAGGAGAAAATTATTGTGCCATTGCCAAACTAGCTCAGTTGAGACATGATTGAAATCTTCCTCAAAAGCTGTCTGCCCAAACAAGCAAGAGTATTTTCCTTCAATCCTTATCTTAAACTTATTTGCAAAAATAAAAGTATTTTACATAGTGTACGGTAGCTGTTGTGTGTATCAGTAATGCTGTACAAGTCCAATGCAAAACTATTTTTTGTACCTTACGACTGCTTTCAATATTTTCAATGATGTTATCGATGATCCACCTTCCTGGCATGAAGTCCCTCTCATGAATACACAGACGATAGGGATCCCTGTTGTTCTCCAAACAGGGCAAGAGCTGGTCCCTCACCCAGTCTGCATCAGAGTGGCTATAGGATATGAAGGCATGATAAGTAAAAGTTCCTAATTCTCCAGCCATTTTTTCCTTGTGAGCTCTGTATTTGGCCCTGATGATCTGATACGTGGCTTTAGTGTACCAGGGGAGGTCAAAAATATAGCAAATGAGCATCAGTATCAAGATAACTGCTGCAGTGGTCGCAACACAGATGATGATAACTAGTCTGATATCACACGCTACTTGACCTGGGAAGTATTTGGATATGGCTGTGTTGAGCAAAGCTTCTGGGTGGTAACACTTGTAGTTCCATGGCCAGTCTGTGAGGTTAACCTTTCCTTTTGACATTGTGTCCTGGACAAAAGCATGGAGCTCACAAGTACAATGGTAAGGATTGTTCCCTGCCCTCAGGCGAGAGAGTTGAGGCATGTTCTCAAAGGATTCCTTGCTAATGAGACCAAATGAATTCCCATCCAAAGCTAGTGACTGCAGTGATGGACTTTCCCACTTAGATGGGATGAACTTGATTTTATTCCCACTCAGCAGGAGTTCTTTCAGGTTGGTAGCTTTCTCAAAGTATGTTATGTCCAGGTGATCCAGGTTGCAGTAGGACAGGTCCAAGTATTGCACAGTGGTGGGGAGACAACAGAGGGCTTCACTTACGAATTGATTGTGGTGAGCAATAAGGCGAGTGATATTTTTTTGCCAAATGCAGTCCTGACAGTTTTCAGCAGATCCCAGTTTGTTGTTGCTTAAATCCAATACCTGCAGCTGCTGGAACTCCCTTGTTAGGGATGACAAATCTTTTAAGCTGGTCAGGTCATTGTTGTTCATGTTATATGTGTGAAGACTTGGCATGGCGCCCTTGTAATCACACTGCTGGTTGAAGAGAAACTCATTCTTTAGTCGATTATTGGATACATCCAGAAGCTCCACACCTTTCATCTCAACCCAGGAATCGCAAGGCACAGAGTTGAAGTACACATACTGAATAGACAGTTCCTTAATTTTGTTGAACCAGGTGAAGCGCCAGTCAAATCGCAGCACATCAGGATTGCTGATATACCTATGAAAAAAAAAAGATTTGTAGTGTTCTGTATGTACAAATTAAAAAGCAAATACTTACAAATACAAGCGTGCGGCTTGACATTTATTTGACATTTGGCAACTAAAAGTTGCAGCTGGTTAAATATGCAAGCATTTTGCACCCATAAAAACCCCCCCCCCCCCCCCCCCCTTCTACAGCAACTCCACTGGCTCACGGTAAAACTCCGCATTACGGGTTTTGGTTGAATTTAAACTGAACCCTGGAACCTGGCCTACTCTTCAAATCAAGATTAAAAACTCACCTATTCAGAACTGCCTACCTACCACTACATTGTCTTTTTATCTGTTTTTTTTTTTTTTTTTTTTTTTTTTTTTTTTTTTTTTTTTTTTTTTTTTTTTTTTTTTTTTTTTTTGGGGGGGGGGGGGCCTTTAAAAATTTAATTTTTTTTTTTTTTTTTAATGTGGGTTTTGGTTGAATTTAAACTGAATCCTGGAATGTCTAAATACGTATACCAAGTGAATACTTGAATTAAATTAACTTTAACAAATGATGGCGATCATTGGGCAGGGTCAATCTATCATAACTCTATAAACATATGACATTATGACAAGCAAGTCCTAAATTTCATACCAAATGAGTAACACTGGCAATTAATGACCCAAAATAAGAAGAAACTCACCAAAGATCCAATTTATCCAGTGCCAGGTCTGTGATGCTGGAACCTGCTCCACTATCGACAAATGTGGGTGAACGGGCAAAGTCGATGTACTGAAGTCTCAACCTTTTGATAGAGGCGACTTGTAAGTTCATTAAAGCCATCCTCAGGAGATTCTCATTGAATTTACCTCTGTGAAAGATAAGCTGATGTGCTGTGATTTGTTTTAAACCCTTGAAAATGTCCTCATCTCCCATGTAGTACATGAACTCAAAGAGGTTGCGGAACTGGATGACACTGAAGGTCTTGTTAGCAAGGTCATGAAGCATGTGGAGGAGAGCGTTTGGCCGTTGATCTATGGCCATATCAAATCCCATCTGTTTTGTCTGGATGACATCTAAACTTCCAGGCTCGTAGTAACTCAGATTGGAGGAACATTTGATGGCAAAACCTTCTAACTTAATGTTTTTCAGGGGCTGAAAATCTGCTTTCTTTAGACCCATCACCAGAGGCCCACCCATAGAGAGAACTTTGAGTTTGACAAATTTGGAGAAGCTGTCAGCCAAAGTGGCATGTTTGTAAAGGTTATTGGACATTTTGAGCTCTTTAAGATTCAAGAGAGGAGTCAGAGCTTTGGCAGGAATTTCTTGCAGGGAGTTATTGAAGATGTCGAGCTGCTCCAGTAGTATGTTGTTTTTAAAGGCATCATTGTCAATGTGTGAAATGTTATTGTACAGTAGTTTAAGGATGCGAAGCTGAGGGAGGCGGAGGAAGTCCTCAGCATGGACAGCTTGAAGTTTATTGTAAGAAAGATCTATGTCTTCCAGTGTGGATGGAAATTGTCTCCATGGGACACTTTCAAGCTGTCTTCCCAGACAGTCTGCGGAGCGGCCAGAGTTGTAGATGTGACAGACTCCTTCGTCAGTGCTACTGGTTGGGGATGGAGATGGAGTTGGGGATGGAGTTGGGGATGTGAATGCTCCAAGAAGGAGAGCACTGAAATGAAACAATTTCCAAATCATCTTGACATAACTGTAAAGAAATAAGAAAAGGAGAGATTAAATGCTGGCATTGTATTCTTTATTCCAATGAAAAAGTGGTAGGACAATGACCTGATTTGTTTTTGGAAGCTCATTTTTTTCTTTCTCCCTTTTTTTTTTTACGCTCTTTTTCTTATTTTTCTTACCTTTTAAATCAGTTCAAAACATTTTGCCAAAAAATGGAGATCAAAAGTTGTTACTTGACAGTGAAGCTAAACATTAAGAACTCTAAGAATCTAAGAACTTATTCCACCACTCTGTCTCTCCATGATACACCCACACACACAGTGACTCTCTTTTCGTCCTTGCAAACCTCCTCTCCGCATATTCCTAAATTATTGCGTAATATCTTAATCCAGGCTGTCATTGCATCAACAAAAAGTTATGATTTGCAGAACGAAGGAGGATGTTGGCCACAGTAGTGTACCAGTTCTGTGAAAGTAACAGGCATGTAATTCATCTAAACCCCCAAAAGCTACACACAGCATTGAAAGACAACAGAAGATGATAGAGCCATGATGTGACAGAAGGAAGGAGCAAATCTTAATAATTGCCACACGATCTTTGATCAATTTTCCATAATTTCCCAACAAATCACAAATGTGTCTTTGAAGAATAAATATAGCATATATAGCTTCTTGAGCAGGGTAAGTGAAGCTTGCGAGAAAAACAAACTACATACATTACTCTGCAGTCATGTTGTGCTTTCGGGCAGCAGATCTGCTGTGAAAAGATATGACACTAATCCATATGAAAGACTATTATACCACTATACAACAACACTTCTAGCATTATACACTTCAGTACTTACCCTCTTATGACTAGTTTCCTGCTTAAGGCTGTTAACACAGACTCTTTCAAATCCCCTCTCCTTTATTTATATTGCTGGTCAAAGGCTACATACTGTTTTTGCCCTCACGTGGAGGAGCTGTCAAGCTTTACAACCCCTGTTAAACAAACAGTGTTGGTTTTATCTAGTCCAGAAGTGACGTGACTCGAATAAACATTTGTGTCTGTGTGGATATGGGTAGTCTTGAAACACATAGTTTCCTCATTTATGTCTGTGTGGGTATGGATTGTGTAGAAATACATTGTTTCCTCATTTATGCCTGTGCGGATATGGGTAGTGTAGAAATACATTGTTTCCTCATTTATGTCTGTGTGGGTATGGATAGTGTAATAATACATTGTTTACTTCCCAAGCTCAGGGTTAAATCAGAGTTGGGAATCAGTAGCATATATTTAAACATAGTACATACATAGTACTTTTTAACTGGTTATGAAACACTCAATTTAATACTGATGCCTCTATATGACCTACATAAATAAACAAGACCATCAGCGAGATGATTAACACAAAATGAAAGTTCCACTTAGGGGCTTTAATTTAATTTTGGTTTATTGCAGAAACTAAACTCAAGACTAAATTCAAATGACTTTACAACAGCTGCAAAATTAGGTGAATATGGTGAATATTGTTTGTAGCTTTTCCACAGTTATGGAATCACAAAATGTATTAGTCCGTAATGTCAAACATTTCACACGTGATTAAAAACAGAGTAGATATTGTGTTATTCAGATAACATGTACACAATAAGGAAGGAGATGGATTATGATAATCAGTGCCACATCTTTTCCCAGCCAACATTCCTCTCAGGTCAACAGTCATCTGAATGACTTATTATTAACAGGTTCTTCTATACAAAAACAAGAAAGCAAATGAAAGATTTTATTCTTTGAATTAGTTAATGTCACCCTATGTTTACTTTGTGGCCGTCATCTTCCTTCCCTGACATATTAACATTGTCTGAGGCAGAAAACAGCAGCCGTGACGCTGCTTCATTGAGGAAACACTCCTCGGTTATCTAATCTGGTCAACAGTGGACAGCTGGTCCTAGAAATTGACAGGAGATTAGATCAACATCAATAATATTGACTTAGTGAAACTCCTCGCATGAAAGGCACTGCTGTAAAATTATGTTGTAATATCACCCAGCAATAACAAAGCTTTGTGAATCGATACAATTTTGTCTCAGACTATTTAAAATGCATTCATGTTTGAGACATACAGTTTGTTTTCTCAACCAGAGTTAATTGTTTTTGCACATAACATAGAATTGAAAAGGTTTTTGGTACAGGTCTAGTGACGAAGGCTCAAAGGTGTGTAGTATTTTCAGATGTACGACATGCCAAACAGAGAAAAAACACAAAGTAGAAATAATTAAAAAACTGGTGGCTCTAACATGAACCCATAGAATCCTAACATTATGAAGGAAAGACCAAGTGTGAACCTTCATGATGTCACCTACTGGTTTGTAGAGTACCGTTTTAGACCCACACAAAGCTGTACCCGAACCGAAAGACACTATCAGCATGCCAAGGAGGTAGGCATGTGTTACTACCCTACATCATCTGGGCCTAGACCATCCAGTAATCTAAATTTGTCAGCTTTTTTTTTTTTTTACTTTGAAAATAGTTTTATAAAAGAAATAAATCAACATACCACATTGTAGATCTTGTACTGGTCCCAAGTCAACAAGAATGCATATAAGATATCAGACCCCTTCAATCCCCCCATTAATTCAACATCTTAAGTCAAGTCTCTCAGCAGTCCACTCCAACGTCACGTCTCACATCTAAAGCTATGATTGATGCACATTCTGGCATTAACAAGAATCAAACCGGTTACCTTTTGTCAACAACACGTCTGTTTAACCATAATCTTGCCTATAAATCAACCTTCAAGCATGGGTAAGTGCACAAAGCTCTTAAGAGTCAGATATACACTATTTGTTCCTTGTAGTTCTTTTCATCTACAGTCTGGTCATAACACTGCCTCAGGCGAATTTCTCGAAGCAAGGGAGGTTAACCAAACCTGTGTATTCTTAACCCACATACATCTTATTGGCATTTGAGTTCATGACCTCCAGCTGGTTTCATATTAACCTGCCTGACAGGAGTTTCAGTGTCAGGATCTGATGTAGAGAATTTAGTGGCGGACTCGTGTATGTGTAGTTTCTACATGGGAGAAACTTCCTGCTCTGTGTTGTATGCAGCTTCATTTGTGGAAGGAATGTACACAAATATGCTGACAGTGCTGAAGGCTGTTCTCTATTTCACCCAGCTTCAGAGGTGAGCTATGTTGCAATCACTTCAGTGTCAACACACATTTAAGAATACAGGCTTTAACATTTCTAGGTTATACAATCTAAAACACCTACACATGCAGCCCATTGTGTATACATATAAAACATATATGGCCCTCTTCCCGGTCAATACTTTTCATATGCAGGTTGGCCCACTGCCATCTTTCTCTTGTATGAGCTGGAAACCCCCAAAGAGTATGTGAACAGGGAAAATATTTGTTTTCTCTTTATCCAAGAGATAGCTTTCTATAGACTAACACTGCCATTGTTGACATTGTATATCTTTGGACCCAGTTGAACAGGTGGTTGCAGTACAAGGATGCAAACTGATGTGTGTCAATTGTCATGCAGCAAGAAAGCATAAACAACATAAGTGGAGTTTCAGTATGACAGGATGTCATTGTTTGAAAGGTACACAGAGGTGCACTGATACCTGTGTGGCAACTTATAATCATATTTTATCAATCAATGACGTGGAAGAACAATCTTAAATCTTTCATTCAAAATCATTAGTAAACCAGGCCCTGAAGCAAACAGAAGAGAGTATTTGGTCTTTGTTAAGAGTTTGTATTGGGGTTGGAGCAAACAGTAGCTCAGGAAACAAGACTGAAGTGAAACTTTTGCTTTGCTTTTGCAGCCTTAAGACATAAGAAAAAACATGTTATAATACGCTATCAAAAATAAACCTCTTTTAATGCTGAGAATTTCTCTGACATATGGTGGCCATTTTAGGACACATCACAGTTAATCAGGCTCTGTGCTACATTGTCCAACTTCACTTAGCTTTCATTATTCTAGACAGCCAGTGATTTCTTAATTTCTATAATGGCCCAGTTAGAGGGTTAGAGTTAGGGTTAAACCCCATGGGTCTGGGGGTATATTTTCAACAGCACAGGCCGCACTGAATCATAGAAATATTACAGGAATACTACAGGCAGCAGTGTGTGTCTATCATCCTCTCACTCCCCGACTGCATGTGTGTCGTGAGGGTGACACTACTATATATAGCCTACTGCACAGACTTGAGTATTTAAGGTATATCATTTAAAGAATATTATAAATCCAAGACAAAACCGACAAAAGGGTGGGACTGAAAAAAAAAGGCGCAATTATAAATGTCTCTGTTACTTCAGCACCACAGACAGTGACATGGATTTATAGAATACACAGCACAGTTAGAGCTGATATTTAGCGCCATGGTCAGAGCCATAGATTCTAACCTGCCTTAAGCTCAGTCAGATAAAGGATCAATGAGTCAGGAAGAATAGACTAACATCTTCAACTTAACAACCCTGTTGTCCCTGCACGCTTGGTGCTACTAGGGGATGGAGGTGGGGAGGACAGGCCCCCCCCTCAAATCGCCTACTGCTTCTAGTCTATATGATGCTTAGCAGAAGATCCATCACTTCAGTTTATGATGTTATTCAGTTGTCTGTTTTCAGCTTTAGCTAGAATTTCTACACTATACATGTGGTGAAGTTAATGATAAAATGTGCACCATAATCATTAAGGAGCTGCCTTCAATGTGCATTCAAAAAATCTATAGCATTAAACTTAAAGTAGAAAAGTGAAGCTGATGTTGATGAAGTGCAGCTGAAAGACAGTTAAAGTTGATGGATGTTGAGCTAAGTGTCATTAAAAGAGCACTCAGCTGATTTAGCATTGGATTTGTATGCCACTGTCAAACTAACAATGGAAATGTTTGAAACAAAAGCAATGCATCAAAACTGAGTCAGATATACTGCATGTTATTCCACACATTCTGATTTCCTTGTCAAAACTTGCAACCTATTACCCACAATGCAACAGGACTGTTGGTATTGGGTCAGAGGTTTGGGTGTGTTAG